CTCTCTTAATAAACCAGTACTGTATTTGTACTCTTAATATTATGTAAACATTGCTCCATAGAGCAGATCCGTTATTTGTAAGTTTTATTATGATAGAACAGAGTGGCTTACAGAGAGGGAATGTGTAAATAAATCACAGCTTCTTAAAAAAATACAGACAACTTTAGAAAAATTCCACTGGCAATTGAACTTGTTTTGAACTATATTTTTATTTCAAAATAAACGTAACTTACTGAGATTCACATTCCTTAAAGTAACTGAAGAACAGGAAAGCAAAACAAAGAAGTGAGGTGAAGTCATAAATTGTAGTAGGCCTAAAATGTAAAATCATTCCTTAACCTGAAAGATTTAGTTTCACTTTAAAATGGCAGAAATGGAAACAAAATATATTTTAAACACTTTTTTACACTATATTTTAAATCATAATGTTTATCACTAAGGAAACAGCATGTATCACACAACATTCAGTGATATCTATGCCTGTAACCAAAAATGATGAATTATCTGAAATTCCAAAAACAAGAAATAATTAAATGATCTATTGCTATTAAAAGAGTATTAGAATCAGGAATGTAATATAGATTTCATTCAAATAGGAAGCATTGTTTATGAATTCAGTATTTAGTCTATCATTTTACATTTTAAAACAAAAAAACAACTATTTTTTTTTTTTTTTTTTTGAGATGGATTTTCACTCTTGTCACCCAGGCTGCAGTGGTACAATCTCTGCTCACCACAGCGTTCACCTCCTTGGTTCAAGCGATTCTCCTGCCTCAGCCTCCCAAGTAGCTGGAATTGCAGGTACTCACCACCACACTCAGCTAATTTTGTATTTTTAGTAGGGATGGGGTTTCACTATGTTGGTCAGGCTGGTCTCGAACTCCTAACTTCAGGTGATCCACCCGCCTCGGCCTCCCAAAGTGCTGCGATTACAGGCCTGAGTCACCTCACCCAGCCAAAAGAAATGAACTATTTTAAATTTAGTATTTGGTAACTTTCAAGAAACACTTATTTTCTATGAAATATGGGAAATATAAAATATATTTTACTTTCGGAGTCATCAAAGTTTTGAAACAATGGCAACAGCCTATCAGAAAAATTTAAAAAGTCCTAATTTTCACCTACTGTCTTTTCTAAAGCAATATAATTTTATGAATCTTTTAATTTTTAACATAAAATCACATTTATAATCACAATTGAAAATCTTGGTGTGGAGATTGAAAAAGGATCAACTCAATACTGCAATCTAAGTGAACTCAAAACTCTAAATAATCATATCTGTTTGGACATATTTTGTACCCCCACATCCAACTTAGCGAAAAAGATAAGCTCAATTTGTCCTTTGTTTTTTTAATTTTCGAGAATAATCATTGACATAATAGTAATGATTTCCCTTTGTGCAGAATCTGGATTTGACAAAAGCATCCTGAAATTAAAAATATATATATATATAACATCATGAGCCTTTCTTTTATGTGCTATATATTAAAGGGCTATATTATTAATTACTGTGAATGCACAAGCTACTCTAATGATGCGAGAGGAGTGTTTGTCTTTAGAGGGTCTGTCATTAATGAAATTGAAATGTTAAAAACTGATGATTAGAATTTGGTGAGTAGAAAAGATTATTTATGGAATAGTATGCTCTGTGATTTCAGATCTAAAGTGTAATTAATGCATGACTTCATTGTATTTGAAGCTTGGTGAACCCCATGGCTAGTGGTGTTCTCAAAAGGAAACCAGACATTTTCACTTCAAAGTATGCACAGATAACAGGTTAGCAAATATGACAAAATTAAGTTACTTAAAATTGCAATCCATGGACATTTTAAATAATTTAATTCTTGAATAAAGTATCAAAATCTGAATGTGACCATCTGTAACAACTTTTCTTCGAGGATATTATGCAACTTGGAAAAATGCTACTGGTTGTAAGAGTGAGAAGAGCATATCATTAGAAGCTTTAATAACCTAAATTTGAATCCTGTTTCTATCATTTATTAGCTTTATATCTCCAGTTAAAGTGATTAACTAGTTTCAATTTCCTGACTTGAAACAAAATAGGGATAATAAAATTTACCTAAAAGAGGATTTGTGAAGATTACATTGGAAAACACATGGAATAGCTGGCACAATATCTGCCATAGATTATGAGCTCAATATCACTCTGTTTGTTCACATTCCTTTGAATTTATAAAATGATATCTCTTTTTAAACTTTGCTGTTATAATAGAAAATCTGAAGGAAAGTTTTTCCCAAATCGGTGGCTCTAATTTTTAAATTATCTTGGTCGATTAGAATGCTCTGGGCCTTTTCAAAACTGTACTCTGGTGTTAATATTTTTATAAGAACAACTGACATTTTACAATTTAACTGTAAATTATTTACTAATGAGAAATACAATAAAAAAATGTTTTCTACAGGGTAAAATAAGAACTTCCAGAATGTTTCACAGAACATTATCAGCGTCATATTGGCTGCCCAGCCACTTATACGTGCCCCTCCTGCAGTGACAGTATTACTATAAGCAGTTTTCATGGTTGGAAAGGTAGCCTCACAAATATAAAACAAAATGGAAAAAGAGACAAGTAGAAGAGAGAACCAAATGAAGAAGCAAACACTAGGCAGGAACCAGAATAGAACCCAGAGAGGAAGACGAGGAAGTAAGCTACGGCATTAAAGAGAAATAATAACCAAGGAAGGAAGGGTAATCAACATCATCAACAGAGTTCAAGGAGAAATAAGACTAAAGATAGCAACAGTAGGTTATTGCTGACCCATATGAATATAATTTTTATATAGTGATTTAAGCCCATCTACAGGAATTAAAGGAAGAGTGGATGTTCAGAAAGATACTAATACTCTACCAAAATAACTATGGCTGAGATCCACAGGGACTTCCATGTTCCCAAGCTCAATGGATATTTTTTACTTTACTTGAATTTTCAAGTAAATTTGATTTGGCACTGTTGACCACTTTTTCCTTAGAAAATTATCTTCCCTTGGCTTGATTTAGAATACAGTTTTATTTTCCTCTTTGACTATTGATAAGTTTCTATTGCAGACTTATTCTCCCATATTTGCCCTCACTGTATAATTAGTCTAAGCTTGGTCTTAGGCCTTATTCTCATATCATTTTTTAATATCTTACCATGAAATCTTATCCATGTCTACAGTTTAATTGATTAATCCCAAATAAATCCCAAATGTTTGTTTCAATCCCAGGCTTTATCTTTTAGTGTCAGGTCCATAAACTCAGCCACCTACTTGGCAGCTCTAACTACCTATCTCCAAAGTGCTTCTAACTCATGACATCTTCCAGAATCCTTCCTCCAAAATACTTAGAGTACCAATTTCAAAAACAGATACACCTTCTATGCAGTTTCCTGAGCCTCAATCCATCACTAAGTCCTGTCACTTTTAGTTTATAAATATTTCTCAGACCACTCTTCCTGCCACCAAATTCATTCTCTATACTATGGGAAGGATGATTTGTTCAAAACTCAAAACACATCATACAACTACTTCCACTCTCAACACCTCCTCGTTCTTAATTTAATTGCCTTAATTATTCTAAGAATTTTGTCTATTGCCTATCCATCAATAATCCCAAAGGAGACTAGGACAATAGTTATTCAGGGTATTGAGTCAAGTGAAAGGTATAACTATATATAGAGTAGAGCTATACATGCCTAAATATAGAAGAAACAAAAGCCAGTTGAGAGAAACAGTTGAAAGGATCTTTAAATTAAAGGTAGTAATGGAAGAATCAAGATCTCAGTAGCAGGAGTTAGTAGATACAGCATAATTGTGCAAAAGAGAAAAGATATAACTTCTAGTAAACCAATTGAAAAGTAAAAAGTAGTTAAATTTAAACATGAATATTTATTCTTCATAATTGCTTTTAGTTAAATTATATATTAAATGTGACCAATTATAGTTATATGTTCAAAAGATATTAAAACTCACTATTATATAAAATACAGGTAAATATTTGTTTTTTTATTATTGGGCATCAGTTTAAAATGTTGTATCATGCTTTGAAAATCTATTTAAGTACAAACAATTATTCATTCTATGTTCTAAAATGTCTAATTTTAATTTTTAATAATGACACAAAGTCGCCAAGTACACTTTGCTACAAAATAAATTTACTTTTAGTTTGCTAGAAGATTTTCTGTGAGTTTTAGAATGAGTAAAATACCATTGGACAATTCTTCTTAGTTGATTAGACCAAAAACAGCTCTACCCTAAAAAACAATGTGCCACTATTGAAGGCTTTCAAAACAAGTTGCTGCTGGCTCTTAGGGCAATTCCAGTTATTAGCAGATGTATGCTCTTGTAGGTATGTAAGCACCTCTTCATATCACTTTATCACTGATAAAAGTGTCACTGTGTAAACTACTTTCTGGGAGGAAGCCAAGCACTTTTAGAAGCTGAATAACTCTTTGGGCAACTAGAGTTCTATTCATTTCACTGAAACGGTGAATAGTGCATGAACTGGAATAATCTGATTCAATAAGTATTAAATAATTCATTCTCTGTATAATTTTACCTGTGGTGTGACTATAAAGTATGGAGGTTGGTTTTATCTGCACATTTGAACATAAAATTTCCCATAACTGCTATTTGTATAGACAGTCTTGACATAGTATATGTTTACTCTAACAATGATTCCAGCAATTCCAAAATCTTGGGAATCATCTTTTGGAATGAACTTCAAAATAAGGCTATTGGTCAAACAAGAAATTCTCCAGACATTTTAATCGTAAACCCCTTTGTCTAGACTAAAATGTGATTTCCTGGTTTCTCTGCTATTCTTGTTTGTTTGTTTCTTATTAAAATTGGGTAACCTACAGTTGTTCAAAAAAATTACTTGCATGTGTCAACTATTTATCATAACAAAAGATTACTCTAAATTAGAAGCTACATAAATGTTTTGAGGTTTAGCAGCCTCATTTGAATACATTTATAGATATCAGGCAGGATGACATTATGAACACAGGCATTTAACTTGTTGTTGCTCACTTCACCACCAATATAATTAATAGACTCTAAGCGTTAAATCAGCACAAGTTTTTGAGACTGGCGAAGTAATTTTGATAAAACTTTCATGAATTCAGTACTAATAGAATCATATTAAATGAAGTTACCATAAAATGGCAATGTCTCCAGGGAGAAAAATAGGCTACATACAAATAAAGAAATTTTAAGCCTAGGGCATGTCTTTCATCATTCTGAATGAAAGAAATTAACAGAGATTGCCTTCTATCTTTTGAGAAGAAATTTTTGTTACCCCCAAAATCTCTAGCAAGCTAAGTTGTTAGTAAAACCCATGTACACATTGCTAAGTATGCAGGGTCTGAGAGAGTATGCATCTTCCTGAAGATATATTAACTCAACAGTGACCTGGCTGCCTGTGATGAACCTTGGCTAGAAGAGATAAATGGTGAGTATTAAAGCTTACTCGATAATTTTTAAATTCAGTTCTTATTACATTAACATATTAGTTTATTTCAATTCTAATAATGGTCTCATGTCAATTTAAAAAATCTGAAAATGTGATTTTGAAAAGGAAAAAGGAAAGTTTCTCTGAGATAGATTTTAAATTTTTATAATCCTAAATAATTAATATTTTGTCACATAGGTAACAAAATAGGTTAATAAAGTAAATTAAGTAAATAAATTTACCCAATTACATATAAAAATTTAATATTTGATGAACAGGACATTTGTATTTTTGAAATAGTAAGTTATTTATTGAATGTTACTGGCAACACTAGGTAGCTATTTGCAAAAATGGTAGAACTTGTTTCACATAAATACTTGATGAATTAAAGATTGATATCCAAAAGGGATTCTAAATATGTACCAGAAGAAAATGTAGCTGAGTGTAACAGGGATATATAAAAATGTTTTCTAAACTTATATATACTAAGAATGAAAGCATAAACTAACAAATTTAACCTCATTTTTTTTTCTAGTTGTGTAGCTCACCATAAGGACTTTTTCTTACACTTATCCATAAGCAGCAGGAATAATGAAGGACTAAAACTCCAAAGCTGTAGAATATGGATGCACCCATAGTTGACATACTCCAAAGTACACATAAACTGTCCAGAACCCTAATAAAAGAGCTTCATGGGAAGAAGAAGAGAAGAAAAGCAGCAGAGAAAGCACTTGGCAAGAGGGCTCAGTCACAGCAGATTTTAGAAGCACTACCAAATGTACCCTTCGAAAGATGAGAGGAACAACCAAAGGTGAAATATCTATATAGTTTCTTGAACAGCAGGAGCAAGAACAGAGGTGAACTGCTAGCAGCAGGAATCCTGGACTGGTTTGTTTTCTAGAAACAGAGAAAGTGGGGTTATATGAAGAATCACAGAGACATAGAATTTGGGGCAACCAAGAAAAATTTAGATTTGCAGTATAAAAATCAAGTAGCTGGAATACTACTAAAATACCTTTCTGACCAAAGGAAACTCTTGCAAATAACTGGTCCAGGAAAATTCAACTAATTTAACATTGGACTTAAAAAAAAATCAGCAGCAGAGCTTGGATTTTAAAATCACCATAAAAATAAAATAATATAAATAAGTTGCATAAATTTCTAATAGATGAAGGATATTCTTCAGAAAATGTTGCAACTGAGCTTTGAAAAATGTAAGAAATAATTGTCCAATTTTATTTTTGTAATGAAGGAAGACCTCAAAGAAGAAATGCAAAAATTGAGGGACAAAATGGAAATAAATGAAACAAATAAAATATGATCTGCTAGAACTCTCAAAAGAAAAAAAGAAAAATAATGAACTCATAAAGAAAATTTTTTAAATATAGAAAAATAAAAGAAAATGAAAATTGTTTTTAAAATTGAAGTAATAGAGGAATTTTACGAAGCAACAAAAATTGAGGAACAATTAAAGAGGAGCTAAAAAGAAAAAAAAATAGTAGTAAAAGAGAAGCAAAGGGATTTAACCTGTACATAAAGATTGAAAATAATAAATAATGGAACAGATCTTTAAATATATATATTTTGAAAAACTTTCCTGAAATAAAAAAGACCTGAATTAACAGCAAAATGTCAAAAAATTTGATTTTTAACATTGGAAATAGTTATGAAAGCATCCAATTTTTTTTAAATTAAATGTTTATATGATTATAAAATTATTTTTTAAAACCTAAAATATAAACAATGGCCCATAAACAAAATAATTCAGATGTAACTCCACCAAAGATTTTAATCATTAATATTTGATGTGTCTGTTTAATTTTTCTATACCTAAGCATCTAATATGATATATTATAAAATATAATATGTAATAAAATAATATTTGACATATAGTTTAAGAGAACTATACTTAAATATGGGCTAATAAATAAACATAACTATATTTTGTCATGTATTTAGATATTTTTGACAATAAAAGTTTATGTTGAAAAAATACATTCATGCTCATAGCAGAAAAAATTACATAGAACAAAATTATGTAGAATGAAGAGTTCATCATCTTCCCATCTTAAGGTCTTTTCTTGGTAAATCTTCCAGAGGCTCTACATCTTAACACAAATAAGAATGTACTGTAAACAAGGTTTTGGACTTCTTTTTCATTAATAATGCACCTTTTTAGAGATCCTTCAACATCAATAACATAGATCTCATTGCTTTTGATGACCATATAGGGTCTCATTGAAAGGATGTACTACAATTTATCTAAATAGACTGTATGCTTGTTTTCAATCTTTAGCTTTGCCAACTGTGTTGCAGTGGACACTTGTATACACTTGTATACAGATGTCAAATATGTGTTAGTATATCTAAAAGATAAACATCAGAAGTGCAATTGTGAGGTGAAAATATTAATGCATTTAAATGTTTTACAGCTATTTTCCCATAGATCTCCATATATGTTACCATTTTCCATACCCAGAAAGATAGAATGTAACTATATTCTTTCACCCTCACCACACTATATACTAACAGTTAAAAAAAAAATCCACCAATGATACGTGAATGAGTGGTACTGCATTGTTCTTGTAACTGGAATTTAAACATCATGATTAAGATTGAGAATCCTTACTGTCCACTTGCATTACTTTGAAAATTACCTGTTGAGAACTGATCTCATTTTGCTGTTGGGCATTTGTTGTTTTCTTATTGATATAAAATAGCTCTTTACATAGCAATTAAAATAATCTTTTGCATGTCATATGTGTTGCAATTAGTTTTTCCCAGATTGCCATACTTTTCTTAATGTTCCTATTTCTGCAGGCAAAAGTTTTATATTTTAATGTACTGAAAATTACTTGGTGACATAATTAGAAAGTTTTTCCCACACTATAATTTTATTTTTACTTTTTATGATTTTCTCTGTATTTAAACAACGTTTGTTAAATTAATTCATAGCATCCCATTGTATCAACGCACATAATTTGTTTTGCTTATTCTGCATTACTGGTTATTTAATTTGAATCTTTTTTTTAAATTGTAGGCAGTGTTATTTTTTTAAAATCTACATATTTTACATACATTATTTTAGGCATGTCTGTTTCCTTATGGTGCATTGTTTTGTACTGCAATTGTAGGTCAAAGAGCATTCTCGTCTTTACACTTTATATTTCTAGCCCTGACAAATGGCCCTTTATGAACATAATAATTTACATGCCTACAAGCAGTATATGAGATATATTACTTCTTGACCCTATTACCAATGCTGAGTGTTGTTAGTTTTAAATATATTTTCAATTGTAAATATTATGCTCACACTTACCTCAGAACCAATATTAATTACATTATGTATTCCCAGTCTTTTGTATTTTTTTCTTTCAACGTCATTTCCAGAACTTTCTCTAAAATTGTTTTGTTTTTCTGTGCCACTCAGAGAAAGGATTGACTGTAAGGAGAAAAGTGACCTTTTGGTGAATGATAGACAAATTGCATAAAGAGAAACTCATGTTGCTACTCCTAGAAAGAGGAAGATCACCGTTTTGAGCAAATTACCTAGAACTTCCCTTCTTCAACCTAACAGTCTCATTTTTTTCCAGTAACATAACAACATTGTCTCAATTGCATTATGACTACTTCTGCAGCCCATTTAAACTTTTGTGGTTTTCTGTTCTCACTTGTCTGGGGAAAAGATGGACTATTTCTGCTAGGGTGAATGAAGCACAGACTTCATGTCATTTCCTTCCATATCTATATCATTATGGGTGGCGGCAAGAGGAGAGCAATTCAGCCTTTCTCCACTGAAACCCCTCTATCACATTGTGTGCAAAGCTCCAGGCAGACAGGCTGGATACTTGCATGTTCTCCAAAGACTGCAGTCATAAAACTGCTCCTGCAAGATCAGGCCCTTGCTAATTACAATACAAACATTAACTTTTTCATTCATGGTAAATTTTCATTCATTTCTTAAGGCTAATACTAATTGCAACTTAAAAATATAATGCTAAATAGGGCAAGCAATCTGGGAACCCAAATGGTATATTCCCCTCCTGATACACATTCTCTCATTAGACACATGAACAGAGGAGGGAAAAAAAAAATCTCTCCAAAGAGCTGGCACTGCAAATTATTTTTTTTATAAATTATATTTGTTCTGGGGTTATTGAATATACTATTTTTTTATTTATAAAATGAGAGTTTGGGGATAATCGACTTGGTAAGCAGTCTCAATGGAGAATTTAAAATGAGGGAAAACATGGTGAAGAGGAAATAATAAGGGTAGTGAAGTACTAGATCTTGAAAAGTAATCTGGGATAAACCAAAGGGACATTTAATAAACATGATCTTTGTTAAATTTGCTTTGGATCTAGCTAGCAAAAATTCCAGAAATATTTTGCTAGTTAAGAAAATAACTGCTTTCCTGAAATGATTTCCCTGTCTGGTCTGTTACTTTTCTTCTACCTGCAATTATCATATAAAAATGTTAGCTAAAATAAAATAAATTTATCTTAATTGGATAAAAAGAAGGATGTACTTTTATTTCTTTATTTATTAATTTGGCAAGAATTTGTTGACATGTCCATCTATATAAGCAGTCATTTCCTTGTTAGGAAAATCAGAATTCTCACTTGCCTGTATTATTAACCCCAGGGATTTCTTGCCACAGGATTTGTTTATATTATAATTCAAAATTGAATTTTGGGCTTCTCCTTCCTAGAAATGTTTTTCTGTCATTAACAGAAGTCACATTAGCAGTGCATTTTTATTATAGAATGGGCTAAGTTTGAAGGGATTAGATAGAGTAGTATAGGTGTTAAATTCTGGCTTGGGTTCAAGTAAATGTTAACTAAATTGAGATGGTAAGCATGTGTTCTGTCCTTAACCCAAGGCTCAGTAGCATATGCTACTGTGTATGTGTGGCACCCAGATGTGGGACTTTGTCTTTTCTGGTTAACCAGTGTATTCAGATTTTGAGGACAGTATTTGGAGGCTGAGAGAACCCACAGTTTTCACATATGCAGAGGTGGGTTCCCTTAGCACTTATACCCACCCAGGGTAACCTCAGCCCTCAGGACTTGATTCAAAATATTTCTTTCCATTCAGTATCTAGTCACTTTCAGGTTTTCCACAGCTGGAGAAAACCCTATTATGTGCTCAGTCTGATGATTACTCAGGGCTCAGATACAGAGATACTGATGTGGCAGGTCTTAAAGGGCCTTGTGCTCTACGTTGTCAGGTTTCTTTTACCAGTAATTAAAAATATATGCATCAACAGAAAGAAGAGGGAAATAGAAACAATAGTACTCACTCTTACTGTTAATATGGACCTTACAAGAATTGAAAACATAATCAAATCACTGCTTTTATCATATAATAAAATATACATCATTATTAAACCTACTGAGAAGTAAGTTGCTTGTCAAATTATAGGTTCTGAAATATGACCAAATGCAGCAGAAGCCCATAAAGACAAGCACTTATTTGATGCCTAGGATTGCAGAATGTCAAGTAAATTAAAGGAAAATAGACCTCAGAAGAATAAATATGTCAGTTAAAACATGAATGTTCTTTTGCAATCAGTCAATTTCTAGTCTAGCCTATCAATGCTACCTTTTCCACTAGTCCTAATTTTGGTTGCAGGAACTTCCACTGGAGTGCTACCTGTTTTTTGGATTTCATGCAATATTACTTCCTTTTTTATTGCTGCTTCCAGCTATTGCTATCAAATGAAAATACATGAACAGCAGCAGTGAAACAAACTTCTCAGGAAGAAGACAGCAGACGAGACCTTCTTTTTGTGTTCCAGGGAAGAGGCACTTATCCCTGCAGCATCAGCATTCCTCTGGAAGAATACCATACACTCTCTAAATACATGTGAGGATTGTGGTAAAGTAGACCATATTTGTAGCAAAATATAGGTACCCTAAATCTAATAAGGGATTCACATCAACAACAAAACAAACCTTCATGGGAGAACTTTACTCGAAAAACCATTCCATAAGGCATTGGACTTAGATTTACAAGTGTGTTCTTCCAAATTCTTCAAGAAACAGATGTTTCCATCTAGTTAAACTATTTGAGAGGTTATTCTGCGAATTAAAACGTCACATCAAAGCTAAACTGATAAAATATAAGGAGTTCAAAAACACTCTGGCACAATCTTACGTATGAATTCTCGTAAAAAAAATAAATAAAATATTAATGAGTGTAAAGGCATTTATAGTAAAGTGAATCACACAATAAAAACACTATTGGAGCTAATATTTTGTAACATTTCTAAAGGATCACACTCATGACATTATTTATGAAAATAAAGAGTAGAAATATTAAGAATGAAGAGCAATAGTTTTTATTGACCGATAATTGTATTTTCTGTATAGAAAAACAAAGTTAATCTACTAAAATACTATTATTCAACTTTTGACCAAATACTAAAGAAATAATTTGAATTCATAAATGTATTAAAGTACTATTGCTTCAATGTAATTAAGCTGTTTACTTAAAATATGCAAGTCGTTCAATATTGACATTTATGATGTTTTCAATATATTATCTTGAAAAATGCACAAAAATCCTTTATTAAGTGTTTTAGACTAGATTTTTTGAATAGAATTTTATTTCTTAGAGCAGTTTTAGTTTTACCACAAAATTAAGCAGAAGGTAGAAAGATTACCCGTGTATCTCCTGCCTCCCAATCCCACACAAACACCCATTTTCAACATTTCCCACCCATTTTCAACATACCACCAGAGGTGTACATTTGTTGCAGTTGACGAACCTACAATGACACAATCATTATCACCCAAAATCCATAGTTTACATAGGATTCACTCTTGGTGATGTACACTCTATATGTGTTTAGACAAAATTATAATAACATGTATCCACCATTATGGTATCATACAGAGTAGTATTATTGCCCTAAAAATCCTCTGTGATGCCTATTCATCGCTCTCTCCCCTAAGCCTAGGCAATCACTGATATTTCTACTATTCCCATAGTTTTACCTTTTCCAGAATGTCATGTAGTTTTAATTATACACTATGGAGGTTTTTCAGATTGGCTCTTTTCACTTAGCACTATGCATTTAAGTTTTCTCTATTTCTTTTCATGGCTCGATAACTCATATTTTTAGCAGTGAATATTGTTTCATTGTCTAGATATACTGCAGTTTATTTACCTACCTACTGAAGGACATCTTGTGGCTTCTAAGTTTGGGCAATTATGAATAAATCTGCTATAAGCATCTGTGTGCAAGTTTTTGTGTGGACATAAATTTTCAGTCCTTTGGGGTAAATAGTAAACAGTGCAATTGCTGGATTGTATTATAAGAATGTTTAGTTTGGTAGGAAACTGCCAAACTATCTTCCAAAGTGGCAATACTATTTTGCATTCTCACCAGCAGTGAATGACAGTTCTCCTTTGTGTTGCTGTGCATGCTCTCAGCATTTGGTGGTGTTAGCGTTCTGGATATCGGCCATTTTAATAGAGGTGTAGTGATATCTCCTTGTTCTTATAATTTGTATTTCCATGATGACAGAAAATGTGGAGCATTTCTTTGTATTCTCTTTGCCATCTGTGTATTTTTTCAGGTGAGGCATTCGTTAAGGTCTCTGGTTAATTTTTTTTAATTGGCTTGTTTGTTTTTTTATTGTTGAATTTGCATATTTTGAATAACAATGCTTTATCAGATATGTCTTTCACAAATATTTTCTTTTGCTGTTGGGGTTTCCTTTTTCTTTCTTAGCAGTGCTTTTCACAGAGTAGACATTTTAAATTTTAATGAAGCCTAGCTTACCAGTGCTTCATTTCATGGATTGTGCCTTGGGTTTTGTCTGAACAGTAATCACTAAACCCAAGGTTATCTAGATTTCTCTTGTTATTTTCTAGGAATTTTATAATCTTATATTTTACATTCAGGTCTATGGTCCATTTTGAGCTAATTTTTATGAAGGGTATAAATTCTGTGTCCAGATTTTTTTTTCATTATAAATATCCAGTTGTTGAAGTACAATTTGTTGGAAAGGCTATGTTTTTTAACTGTATTACTTTTACCCCATTATGAACGATCAGTTGACTATACTTATGCAGATTTATTTCTGGGCTCTCTCCTCTGTTCCATCAATCTGTTTGCCTATTCTTTCACCGATACCACACTGTATTTATTACTGTGGATCTACAGTATGTCTTGAAGTTGTATAGTGTAAGTCCTAGGTCTTTGTTCTTTGTCAATAATGTATTAGTGATCCTGGATCATTTACGCCTTCAATATTCAAAAAAATAACTTGCTAGGATTTTGATTGGGATTGCAAGTAAGAAAGAACTGGCATCTTGACAATATTGAGCTGTCCTATCCATAAATGTAGAAAATCTTTCCATTTATTTAACTCTACTTTGGTTTTTCTTCATCAGTTTTGTAGTTTTGCTTATACAGATTATGTACATATTTTGTTACATTTATAGCTAAGTATTTTATCTTTTGGATGCTAACGCAAATAATGTTACATATTTTTTATTTCAAATTCCATTTGTTCATTCCTGTTATGGAGAAAAGTGATTGACTTTTGTATATGAATCTTGTAAACTATAATCTTATGATAATTGCTTATTAGTTCTAGGAGGTCTGTTTTGTTTTGTCAATTCTTTGGATTTTCTATATATGTGATGATGTCATCTGGGAAAAAAGACAGTTTTATTTCTTCTTTCCTGAGCTGTATACTTTTTTTCTCTTCTCTTACTGCATTAGCTAAGACTTTCAGTGTGATGTTAAAAAAAGCATTGGTCAGAAGAGACATCTTTGCCTTATTCTTTATTTTAGTGGGAAAGCTTCAAGTTTCTCACTACTAAGTACAATGCCATATGTGGGTTTTTGCAGATATTCTGTGCCAAGTTGAGGATGTTCTCTTCTATTTCTATCTTACTGATATGGACTATGATTTTTTAAATCAGCCACATACATAAAACAAACCTGAAAAAGTACTACATATAAAGGTTTAAAAATTTTTTGAAAGATATTCTGAAAAAGACGGAAAAAAGAGGCTAAAATGTCAATGTTAAAATTATTCAAAATAGATCATACAAAAACATTCGATAGACATGAAGTATGTGTAATGTGATAAAGATTCATCCT